TTGTGATTGATAGTTGCCTCTGCCTTGAAAACTCCTTACAGAGATGAAGAAATGGTTTGCTACCGTAACATTGGATGTTTTCGAGATGAAGGTCCATTTGATTATCTTGACACTTTACCAGCAGCACCTGAAGTTATTAATACAACCTTTACATTGTACACTCGATTGAATCCAATTGAGGGAAGTTTAATTGATCTGACCAATACAACATCTAGTTTAAATGATTTTAAAGAATCAGGTCCAGTCAAGATAATTATCCATGGTTTTGGTTCAACAGGACGAGATCCTTGGGTTTTACAGATGACTGAGGCATTACTATACGTTGTAAGTAGTCACATTTTGTTACCTTTTTAAATTTAACGGATTAACGGTCGTAACAACAACAGCAGCCAAGAGTAACAATTAGTAAATTACAAGTAGAAAACATTTCATTATAATTGATCAACTTTAAATCCTTAGACTTTTATCAAAAGGAAAAATCACACTCAAGTAACTCTTACAAATCATCTTCTGATAAAAGCCTTTTGTTTTTACCATGGCAACCATGCCAGCTGACTTTGTAATCACTTGAACACATTTTTTGAATTGTTAAAACTCTTCCGTTTATCATTGTGAAAAATATATCTTACTGGTTTTATTATAAATATTTTAATTGAAACAATTGTGTCTTTTTCCTGTTGACGATTGGTACCTGTAAATTGTAAACTGATGTTAAAAGTTGCGTATCCAAAAAACAAAACAATTAACAACCAGCAACAACAGTTAACCAGAAACACACAAGAATTGAGAAATGACGTTAAAGTAAACGAGTTAACTTGATGTGTGAAGCTTAATAGGGATTAAATTGATTGAGTTTTAAACCATTTTGAAACTAAGTGTAATTCATATATTTGTATTTAGTGACACTAATCAAGTTAAATGATTAATGAGATTCTCTCGGTTAATGAGATTGAGTTGTAATCATTTTCGGTGATGGTGACGATGATGATGTTAAAGAAGGTTGGCAAAAGGATTAAACCGATCATACACATAAATAGATTTAAAAATTATTGTCTTACCTTGATTCGCTTTGTTTTTCATCAACATCATTATCATCATACATGATGAAAATAAACCTCAAATTGACAAAAATGCAACAAGTAGTTCTCATCCGGTCATTGGCTTATATTGAAGGAGGAGGAAGATGAAGATGACCGTGGAAGATGATGTTAACATTAACTTTTTTCAACTCACTGTTCATCTAAATATGGTCAACTTATTTGGGTCAATGATTGAAAAAAAAGGTTTTTTTTCTTATCATCATCATCATCATATCTTGATCATCTTAACAAGTGGCTATAAGTATATTAAAATTGAATATTGGGTTTCGATTGTTAAATTGATTTGTGTTTTTGATATTATCTTGACTTTACATTATAATTTCTCAATTGACTTTGCCTTTCAATGATCTGTTTTCATCCCTAAATTATGCTCATTAATTGACAATTGATTATTTTTAGGACAATTTCATGGCTATTTGTGGTTATATTGATAGCAATAGTTAACTTGAACCAATACCAATTGTGATTAATTGGTTCAAAATTTGGGTTTCCAATTTTGTTTTTGGGTTCAAGTTGATTCAGATTAGATGGGAAAGACTTTTTAGACAATTATAAAGTTATCATTATTGATACATTGAAGAGCACACAATCAATAACGATCGACATCAATTAGAAATGAAATTGGCTCAATATTATCAATCTTAAAAGCTAATCAAATTTGCATCAACTAATCAAGTAATTTTTCAAAAAACCAAATTAACGAGTCATTTAGTACAGTAGAGAGTCACCGTTTCAACTATTAGTACAGATTATGAGAGCAAATTCAAAAACGGACTTTTAGTACAATTTTTGCATGAATAAAATGGTTCAAATTAGCCAGTGAAATAACCTGATCGGTTAAGTGAATTGTTACATTTAATCCAATCAAATGAAAGTATAATTAACTAATTTTAGTCAGTTATTTTAAGTTGAATATACTTTTAATAGTTTGGATATTAAATCTGGTTACAGTTCGTTTCAAAATGGCAACTTCAAAAAATTGACTCTCATCCGTTGACTGACTTGAGTGAACACAGTTTACCAATTATATCGGCGTCACAATCACCTAATAACATGAAGAGAAGAAAAAATAATAAATAAATAATTCCATTAATTGTTATTGCTATTGCTGGATAAATTTGGTTAGGATAGCGGTAAAGAAAGGTGGCATGCAAAGAGTAAAGATCTGTTGAAAAACTGGTGAGACTTACCTTGCTTTTGTTTATTTTTAATTTAGGATGATGTTAATGTGATTGTGTGATTGGGGTAATGGAGCTGCCTTACCTAATTACGTCAGCAGCG